AGAGAGAGAGAGAGAGAGAGAGAGAGAGAGAGAGAGAAAGACAGAGAGAGCATGCTGTTGCATGAAGGACCCCCATGGGGAATTCCTTCACACAGGGATTAGAGGCTAGGGATAGAGAGCTCCGACTGAAGAGCTCAGGCCTGATGTCAGAAGACCTGGATTTGCATCCTGGCTCTGAAAGTTCCCAGGGATGTGACACTGGCCATTTTGCTTCTCCCTAAGACTCAGTTTCCTCATCGGATAAATCTGAATGAAAATATTTGCCCTAACTACCCCTACAGGGTTACTGCAAGGAGAAACATTTTGTGAACCTGAAAGCGCTAAGGAAGCCAGGTGTGGAGAGGGATCCGAATTCAAATCCTCCTTCTGCCCCTCTAGGCTATGACCCCGGGCAAGTCAGGTCACTTAATCTCTCAGTGTTTTATCAGAGAGCAAATACTGACCAGCATGGGTAGGAGCTCCCCACTTCAATAAAGTCACAGGTCCAGTCCCTATGCCTAATAATTGTCCCCTGGTGCATCTGACAACTGAGGGTGGGTGTTTGTCTATGTAAATAAAGGTTTACTGGCCCAGTGTAAACCAATCAGGGTGGGGGTGGGGGGGCAGAGGTAAGGGGATTTTGTTTTTTTTTTTAGTAGAAGTCGGTCAGGAAGGACCAGGGAAGGATACTGGGAAATAGCAGGTGTAGAGAAAGAGCAATGTGAAGGAAGCGATGGAAATGGTACTGAATTAGGGGTCGGAGAACCCTGTGCCAGCATCACATGCCAGCACTTGAACTTACCAGTTGTCTGACTTGGGCAAAATCTGAGCACTGCCTTCCGACCTCAGAGGCCAAATCGTGGCTCAGCAAAGATCCTCTCTGCAACCTTCAGTTGGATTTGATCATTTGTCCAGTGTTTACCTCTGTCTAGTGCTGGAGGCACAAATGAAAAAAATCAAACAGTCCCCATCCTCGGGGAGTTTCCGTTCTTTGGGACAAATGGTCATCTAGGTTTGTCTCAGAAGACCTCTAAGGTGGCAGACTATTGCACCATGGCACAGCTCTAATAGCTAGGAAATGTTGGGGTTTTTTTCCTTTAAACTGAAATCTATGTTTGCAACTTGAACCCAGCTCCTGGTTCTGCTCTCTGGGGCCAAGCAGAACAGCCCTTCAAATGCTTGAAGACAGCTATCCGTACCCCTTTAAATCTTTCAATCTTGTTCAGGCTAAATGATCTCCCTCCACTCAATGGCAGGTCAGTCTTCCCGGGCCCTAGTGTCCTCAGCCACAAAAGGGGGAAAGGGTCCTCCTAACTTTGAATCCTACCTTCCTAAATGTGAGGTTTAGATTCCTGAAGGAGATGGAGGAGTGTTACTTAAGTGGGAAACTGTCCCAGAGCTCCCTTCTCCAGAGGCCCACAGGACAGGACCTCTTCAGTGCCCTACTCTCCCTAGGATTGAAGCATGATCGCTGGAGAGATGCCACCAAGGAGTCCCAGGGGCAGGGTGGAAGAGAGAGACTGAAAAAGTCACTTTGGGACTCAGAATCATGGCTGGACAAATCCTTCCTTAGACAATTTAATCCAACTCCATATAAGGAAAAAAGTCCTAACAATTTATTTCATCCAAGTGGGATGGGCTCCCTGGAGTTCCACACCACTGGAGGTCTTTAAGTGGACACTGGCTGGCCGCTCATCAGGGAGGCTGCAGACAGTGTGAGGATTGGACTGGAAGGGTTCTCAGAGTCACGTGAAATCTAGAAGCATTTAGTAATCATCTGCCATGTTTGGGGCACTGGGCTAAGCCCTGGGATACAAAGAAACACCAAAACATGAAACGAACCTGCAGACCATCCCTTCATCGGTAAGGTGAGGAAACCGAGGCCCACAGAGATTATAAATGACTTGCCCAAGATCACACAGGTTGTACTGAGTTACTTAGACACAGGTAAAATTGGGGGCAGCTAGGCAGTGCCATAGTGCACAATAGATGACCAGGGTCTGGAGTCAGGAAGACCCATCTCAGACATTTACTGGCTGTGTGACCCTTGGGCAAGTCACTTAACCCTGTTTGCCTCAGTGTCCTCATCTGTAAAATGAGCTGGAGAAGGAAATGGCAAAGCTCTTCAATATCTTTGCTAAGAAAAACCCCAAATGGAATCATGAAGAGTTGGACAGGACTGAAAAATGACCAACACCACCACAGGTTAAATAAGAGGGGTTGAAGTTCCTTGCAGCCCTGAGCCAACGAATGAATATTCTACAGCAGAGGAAACTAAAGCTCAGAGGTTAAGAAGCTTTCCCAGGGCCATGCTGCATTGCAGGGTGGGGAGCTCACCTACAGGGATGTGTTCATGTACATATGATGATAGCCAGGGTGTAGCCATTGCCCCATTCCCACCAAGGAACACTCCAGAGTCTATAATCAGAACCAGTGTTTATTAGCGCAATCCCATCCACAGGAACTTCCCTTGACCCCATGGCTCAGGCCCCTTGTCTCCCATCTCCCCCCTCCCCCGAAGTCTCCCTGTACAACTATTTACAGCCCCAGGGTGGCCCCCACGGGAGGGGAGAAGGGGTTATGATCTTCCATCCCAGTATGCCTTAGGCTACCCCCATTGCCACCCTCTTTGGGGCTGGGCTTCCCGGGAGAGACAGTTTCTTGTAGGGCAGGGAAATGGGAAAAGGTCGTGGTTGACAAATGCAGGCCCAACCACTAACTGGACTCTTGAAAGTCCCCCTGAAGGAAGCAGTCCAGGAAGGTTAAAGGAAGATTGGGCAACTGGGAGAGGGTCTGTGTGGACTGCCCTTCCTTCCTCCTCCCCCAATAAATAGAGAATAAATATCCTAAAATGCCCCCTCTGCACCTTCCCACCAGCCCCTTAGCAAGACCCAGGGGAGGGCCCACTGGCTCACAGGTGGAAGTAGGGCTCTTCCCAGCGCAGCCCAGGACCTGGCGTCTTGCGGCTCAGCGGAGGTGGGAGGGAGGAGGGCTGGCATAGACTCTCTACATTCATTCCCCCCACCTGTTCTCCTCTGCTCACTGTGCCCTCGCCCCTTCAGTTCACACACAGTTCAGTCTCTATGGCCTCCTCGACCTCCTCCTGGTCCCCCTGCCCTCCTCTCCTGCCTAGAGATGCTCTTCTGGTTTCCTCCCAGGCCACGGGTACACCGTCCCTGCTTAGGCCCAGACCCTGGACTCCCCATTCCAGCCCCAGCCCAAAATGCCCATGCCATATTGGCCAATGATCAGCGACCAACCCCATACCCTGACCCAGCCCATCCCTCTCTGTCTTTGTCCTGTCCTCCACCAGCCCCCAAAGTGGTTTGGCCCCTTCCTGCTCACACATGCCTGCTCTGCCCTGCCCTGCACATGCTTAACTCTGTGTGTACTCCTACGAGATCTGTGCCCCAACCTGAGTTGGGGAGCGGGGGAGAGAAAACTGACGCTCCATTCTCAGAATTTTGGTTTCCCCAGCCCCGGCCCAGACCCACCACCCCCTCCCCAAGATGTGCAGTGGGTGGCTATTGGCCAGAGGTGGCTCTGGTCCTGGCCGTGGTCATCCTGCAACTGCTTAGAGACAATCCTTCCCCAAGCTTTTGGGTCTCCTCACAGCTGACAAGTCCAGGGGATACTGGTTGGCTGAGGAGCTGGCCTTCTTGAGTCCCAGCTGGGGCTCATGCTCTCTCTGTGCAGACCAGGGCAGCTAGTCCTTGTCTGAGATCCTGAATCTCTGCCACAAGTTGGGGCTGGGAAGAGGATGGAGATGGCCCTGGGCTTCTGATCCCAAGGGACTATGTAGGACTTACCAATAAATACTGATAAAAGGGATGTGTGTGTGTGTGTGTGTGTGTGTGTGTGTGTGTGTGTGTGCACGTGTATGTGTCTCTCTTTGTATATATATATATATAATATATATAGATATTTATATATATATCTTTTTATATTAAAATGGGAGAGGGGGTAATGGCCTGGGGGTAGGGGATGGTGGGAAAATAGAGATGTGATGAGATCGTTTATGGCTCCCCAAGGTTGCAGGGGGCGGGGCAGCAGCAATGGTGGTTTCATGTGTCCGGCTGGTGATTCCGACGGTTTCGAGGCTTTTTCTGGTCTGGTAGCTCAGGGGTCTTGAGCCCCCCAGGAGCCTCTTTGTGGTTTGGGGGCGCATGGCGCCAGTATCCCTGACAGTACTGGTTGATAAGTCCCATTTCGGGCTGAGCCAGGAGCTGGGCCAGCTCCTGGTAGGGAGGCGCGGGGGGCCTGAGACCGGCCGTTGCAGGGTCAGCCCCAGGGGGCTGCAGGGCAGCCACGGCAGCTCCCGGCGGGAAGAGCACAGCATGGACGGCTTCTCGGCTGAGGACATGCAGCTGGACACGAGTGACCACGTGCTTGAAGTTGTTCTCGGTGGCTGTACAGGTGTAGAGGCCGGCATCGCTCAGCTGAAGGGCCCGAAGGAGCAGGCCAGGCTCGGTCCGCAGCATGCGGTCCTCTGATCGAAGCTGGAGAAGCGGAGAGCGGGGACCTCAGGGGCCAGGCCATTGCTAGCATCCTCCTCCCCTGGGGTTCCTTCTGCAGGGTCCCCTCCCTGACCTCCTCTTCTATTTGCCCTTTTCTGAGGATTTTCACCTCCAACCCCAACCCTACCAGCCCATCCGAGCTCAGGATTAGACTTCCCTAAAAGGCCACAGGACACGTGCCCAAGGGCTTTGAGGAGGGAGAAATGACAGCTCAGACTTTTAAGATCTCAGAGAGTTTAAGGAAGGATCCTTATCCTCATTTTACAGGTTCAGAAAAATTAAACAGCAGTCCCAGGGACACACGGCTAGTCAATGCCAGACAGAAATCCAGCTCTTTGGATCAGTCGCAGGCCAGGACAGAACACCTAGTCTGAACTCTTCATCGTACTAGGGAAAGAAGTAGCCCAGTGGGGATTCGACCTCAAGTCTTCTGATTCTAAGACCAGTGCTCTGTCCATAACACCCTATGGCCTCTATGATTCCGGGGGTACTTCTGGGGAGGGTACCTCCCTTGCTCACCTCCTTTCTCCGGTCACTGGCATCTCTTTGGAAAAGCCACTTGGTGGTGGCCTGGGGGGATCGGGGTTGACACTCCAGGAAGGCAGCACTGCCCTCAACCCCATACTGCACCGACTCCACTGTGTTCTTATTGACTAGGGAAAGAGGCGCCCAGATAGTTTCAGAATGTTGATTTGCTTAAGACCCCACCCTGTGCATCCTTTCCACGTACCCCTATACCACCTTCTTCCTGCCACTGAGAGCTTCCATAGGATGTATCTCCCATGGATCAAAAGCCTGGGACATCTCTTTTTTTCTGGCATTAGGGCCCTCTATAATCACACACCACTCTACCTTCCTAGTCAGTCTCATCTCATGAATCCCTCCTCTCCACTATGCTCCTGCCATACTACACTGTTCTCTCCCACCCAAAAACATGTTCTTCTGTCTCAGTGCCTTTACTCAAGCTGCTTCCTATTCCTGGAATGGCCTCTTGTCCACCTCCTCACCCGCTGAATTCCTAACCATCCTTTAAAAGCTAATTCAAACACCACTTCCTCCAGGAAGCCTGCCCTGATGCCTGCTCCTCCGCCCCTTCTCCCATTGACTGTGTAATGCTGTGTGCATTGATGTGATGTATTCAAAGGAATTTAGAGCAGGAAAAGATCTTATAAATAATTCTGGCCAAGTGTCTTGTTTTACAGATGAAGATGCTGAGGTTCAAGGTTGAACTCAGGTCTTCCTGACTTTGAGGCTGGCTCTCTCCAAATTAGTTTTGTTTTTTCAAAATCAATAAACCTCACAGGAATTGTAGAGAAAGGAGTATTAAATAACATGCCATGACTTCCCAAAGACTTGAAGTCATTGTACTCAATGGCACATAAAAGGTGGTTGAGCTGTAGTAAGGTTTTTGTATATGCACGTGTGTGTGTGTGTGTGTGTGTGTGTGTGTGCATGTGTGTGTGTGTGCAGAGTGGATAGAAGCTAATAGCCTACCTTCCTACTGGACTGTGAGGACCAAAAGGGCAGGGACACACTGGGTCTTAGCTAAACTGTGTCTCTCTCTCCCCAGGGCCCACTCAATGTAGGGCTCTGCACACAGTAGGCACTTAATAAATGTCTGAGGCAGCCTTTTGGGATTTCTTTATAATGAGGCATACCAGTAATTTTCAAAGTCTGGTAGATGGGGTTTCTGCAGAATGAGAGACATCCAGCTGATTAACAGATTTGTGGGGGAGGCCCCTCTGGGAAGGATGTGAGGCCATACTCACCATTGGAATTGAAACCCCTGCACTGACGAATGGGGTTGCCATGGCGGATGTCTTGGCGGCGGCTACGTCTAGAGGAGAAGAAAGGAGAGACCGACTCTCAAAAGAACCGTCCCTGCCCTTGCCCCTGTCCTTCCTAGCTCCCCTCTGACCCAGGGCTCCCCAGGGGCAGGGGCAGGGGCTGCGTCTGTCCCCCACACAAGGGCTCCCCTCAAGTCAGGGTCTAGGTTTCTTTCATAGACCAGACCAGGGGCTCCCTAGAGGCAAAGGTCCCCTCCTTTTGGGGCTGTGTGGGCTCCAGCTCAGACCAGTCCAGTTTCTCTCCTGTCCTGTTGCTCTCCCCCTCAGCCTCTTACCTTTTAGAGGAAGCTGAGTAGCGTGAGCAGAATTTGCCGTCCCAGGCACAGTAGGGGTCCCTGGCAAGACAGCAGTCGGCACAGGCAGCCCCATAGGTGTGGCAGCGATGCAGGCCCAGGTGGGTTACGCCCACAGCAGAGGCCACATACAGTTGTTGCTGGGAAGGTATCAAGGGCTTGGTCAGAGCTCTGATCCTACTCATGTCTCTCACTTCCCACATCTCAGCAGGCTAGAGACTGCCCATCTTTGGGGGGCAGCCAGGTAATGTAATGGAGAGACCCCTGGCCCAGACCTGAATTCAAAGTCGGTCTCAGACACTTCCTAGCTGTGTGACCCTGGGCAAGTCACTTAAACTTCCGTCGGCCTCAGTTTCCTCAACTGCAAAATAATATCTCCTACCTCCCAGGGTTGCTGTGAGAATGAAATATTTGTACAGAGCTATAAAAATGCTAGCTCCTCTTCCTCCTAAATGTTATTATTTTTATTATTAGGCTAGGATTGTGGAAGAACCCTTTCCACATTCTGTTTTCCTTAATAGTCCCATCTGTATACTCAGAGAAGAGTCATGGGACTTAAAAGGACCAGAGAGAACCGGGCTTTATACAGACGGGGAAACTGAAGGCAAGGCTGGAAGTGGAGCCAGAACGCTTAGGTTCAATTCTCCACTCTGACACCTAGCACCTGTGTGACCTTGGGCAAGTCACATGCCCGCTTGGGTCTCAGTTTCTTCATCTGTAAAACAGGGTAGGAGTTCACAGTTTCTAAGGTCCCAGACCTGACAGCAGTCCAGTTTCAGGCCCCTGCTAGTTGCGTGACTCAGGACAAGTCACCTAACCTCTCTGTGCCTCAGTTTCCTCATCTGTGGGTTGAATGGGTTGGACATGACATCTTTCAAGGTTCCTGGCTCTAAGTCCGTGATCCTATCACTCTTTTCCAGATCCAAATCCTAGGATCTCATGACTTGCCAAAAGCTCCACGTACGGTACACCTATATCCTGGCTTGGCCTCTATTTCTGCCCCCGTCCCCAACTCCCACCCTCCTATACTCTGGGGTGTTGTCTCTAAAGCCTTGGAGAAAAGAACCTTGGGAATTCCAAAGGGATAAGCCTTTGAAATGAGGGATGGGATAAAGATGGGAAGAGAAAAAGGTCCCTCTCTTTGGGAAAACTCTGAGATCTTTGTCCATTACAGAGGAGGGGCTCAAGGGGATGGGTTCCTGGCCCTGGGATTGTCCCCTGCTCTGTCCTGCCTAGTGTGGGAGTGGGGACAGGAAGTGGACCCAGTGAAGTGAGCATTGATATCCCAGGGACTCACCCGCTTGGAGGAGATGGTCATTGTCTTAATGGGGGCTGGAACCTGGAAAGAGAGGTCAAGGTAGGTGGTTAAGAATGGTGGGGACTTGGGGCAGCTAGGTGGCACAGTGGACAGAGCACCTGCCCTGGAGTCAGGAGAACCTGAGTTCAAGTCTGGCCTCAGACACATAACACTTACTAGCTGTGTGACTCTGGGCAAGTCACTTAACCCCCATCGCCCCCCTAAAAAAAAGAATGGTGGGGATTCTGGAAATTAGCCCCAGTCCCCTGAGACAGACTTTCCCTAACCTCTGCCCCTCCCCACGCCCCACTCCAGCGATGGCCCGCCCTTCCCATCCACCTGGACAAGAAGCCAGGGATGTTAAGGAGAGCCACAGCTGAGCAGACTTGGAGGTCCAGGTCTGGGGTTCTTTGGTTAGGGTCAGATTTAGGGGTCAGGGCTAGTTTGGGGGTCTGGGACGGGGTGGGGTCAGGCAGTCACTGGGTTAGGGATGGGGCTGGGAGGGGTGGTCTCAGGGCAGGGAGACCCCCACCTTGAAAACTTCGACCTCCTCCAGCATCAGCTCCTCCGTCTCCATGTCGTCCTTAGGCAACACGATGACTTTCTGCACAGTGCCTCGATCTGGAATGAGGCAGAGGGCCCTTTAGCAGGTGGGGAGATGGAGGAGGGGCAGGAAAGAGGGCAAAGAGGGGAGGGTCACTGGCTTCTATCCCACATTCCAGTCTGGGACGTGAGAGCTCGGGGCTCGGGAAAGGGAAAGGTCAAGGAAGCTGTCCACCCTGTGGTCCCCAGGGCAGGGAATCCATCCAGGGCCTCCAGCCCAGGGGACCTGTCCCCAGCTTTGGACTAAAGGTGGGCCCCAAAGGCAACAGAATCCAGATCCAGAATGAAGTCGCTCCGCCAGCCCTGCTCCGTGGGGCCATCAGAGAACCCAGGTCTTCCTTGGCCCCTCACCCAATGCCATGCATGTGTGTGTACGTGTGTCTGTCGAGAAACTTTGGCATACCTGTATATATGTCCGTGTGTGTGTGTGTGTGTGTGTGTGTGTGTGTGTGTGCACGCATGTGCACATTGGATACAGCACTGGGCCTGGAGTCAAGAAGACTTGAATTCAAATCTAGTCTCAGACACTTCCTAGCCATGTGACCCTGGGCAAGTCACTTAATTTCTGTCTGCCTTAATTTCTTCAGTTGCAAAATGGGGATAACAGTAGCACATACCTCCCAGGTAGTTACAAGAATCAGATGAGACAATATTTGTCCAATGCTTAGCACAGTGCCTAGCACACGGCAGGCCTTTAATAAATGGTTATTTTTCTTCTCTTCCCCTGTTCCTGAGCATGAGCACGACCACATTCATGTGTTATATGTGCTGTGTGTGGGATTGAGCATGGGCCTGAGAACACAGTACTGGGATCTGAAGCTAGAAGACACGGGCTTGGCCTCTGCCCCTGGCACCAGCTGTGCGGCTTTGGTCAAGTCTAGGTGACCCTGAGGGTTTCCTCCAGCTCTAAATTTATGACCTTATAATTTCTGAGCCTCAGTTCCCTCATCTGTATAATGGGGATGATAATACCTGCAGGAGGGACTTTACAGATAATTATTAAAGAGCACTGCAGACTTTAAAGGCCGTGTCAATGCCAGGAGGTGTTATTATTTATGTCTCAGAAATGGGTGTGTGTGAATGTATATACATACACAGGTGCATGCGTGGGTTTGTGTGTGTTCGCACATGACAGGCTCCACCTACTACAATTTGGCGCCGGGCCCCTTTGCCGAGCAGACACAACAGCTGCTCCTCAGGGGAGTCTGCCAGGAATTGGGGGTGCCCACTCCCTTTCCCAACTGCCAGGGGGCAGGGCAGCTCCAGAGCCCTGGTTTATGAAAAGCTAGGGGGGCGGGGGGCCTGGTAGGACTTTCTCTTTCTACCTCAAACACTCAGGGGAGGAGGAAGGGAGCTGAGATTGTCCTGGGCCTGAGGCTGGCCCTGAGAGGGGAGGACTCTGGGAGCTACCCCTCCCTCACTACAGGCTCTAGCTCTAGGCAAGCCCCCTCCACTCTCTGGACCCCTATTTTCTCCCTCAAAAGTTGAGAAGGAAGAATAATGGTGGTGACCATGTTCCCAAGGAGCCCCCTCCTAGGCAGGGGTAGAGCCCCAAGAGGAGAGACTCACAGCCCCATCCCACCCCGCCCCTTCCCCAAGGCGTTCCAGTGTGACGTGAGGGTGCTGGCGGGTGTGGCAGTGGGTACCTGTGCCCAGGAAAAGCACCTCATAGCGCCCGTCTGCCGCATCCACCTGATCCACAGCAATGGTGGTAAAGCGGTAGCGGGCGTTGGTCCTGACCACCAGAGGCCGGCGCTGCAGGGGGTACACTGCGTTGAACATCAGGGGGTGGGTACGCATGAAGTTAATGACCTCGTCTGGGTAATCCTTGGTTGACTTCATGGATGGTGTGAAGGTCCCCCCTGGACACTGCAGTCACCAAACACAGGGTCAGTGAAGGGTCCTGGGCCCTGCCCCCTTCCACTTCGGCCCTGTAAACTAGCCAGGTTTTCCCAAAGGTACCAGGAATGAGATTCCTGCCTGGAATCACCTGTTTTGCTCAATCCTGAAGAGGGATGGTCCTGACCTTGGGCATCAGTTGCCCTGTCTACTATCAGGGTCCTGGGACATGGGGTCAGGATTTGGAGTGGGCTGGGGTCAGATTTCCAAGACAGGAGGATCTGGGATTTAGAATGAGCCAGGATAGGAGGCCCAGAACAAGAAAACTGGGACAGGCTCAGGTTGGAGATTCTCAAAGTCAAGATCCAGCACTCTACCCCCAGTACGTTCTACCCCACCCAACACACACATCCCAGACCTTCTATCCTGCCAGTCCCCAGTCCCAGAGTCACTCCCTACCCCTACCCCACAAACCCACACAAACACTCTCTTAGAAAGAGACCTGCTTTCAGCCAAGCACTTTCTCCCCAGTTCCATCCCAGACAGTGGGAGTCATAGTGGGGGTAGGGAGGTGCCCAGCTCAGAGCTAGTGTGATGAGAGGGTTGGGGGCCCGAGGGGGTCATGACAGTTATCATCAGAAGCACTCCAAACACAAGAATGGCACACACGACTCACAGTGCCAGGGCGAGGATAGGGCATCTTGCCCGTAAAAGGCATCCATTGGTAGTTGGGTCCCTCCTTGTGGGCAAAGGGACCGTTGAACACCATGCGGATATCGGCCATGGAGTACACGCAGACTGCAGAACCCCTGAACACAGAGCTGGAGGAGGGGAAAGTTGGAGGTGGGTATGGGGCCCTGGGTCGAGCCCCCTGCCCTTTCCTGGGCTCTCCTCAGCCCCAGAGAGAACCCAAGCCCCAGCCTGATGCAGGCCTCACCCTGAGGACGTGAAGACAGCATAGATGACGGGGTTTTTCACATCCTGGGTTTGTTGTACAAACACGTCCTCTGTGCAGAGAAGAACAGGGGGTCAGGGAGATGACTCCTAGGGCTCCGGCCAGGCCCCCAGATATCTAGGAGCTGGCCAGGTTGTCCCTCCTGCCTGAACGTGGGATGTCCCCATCCTCTGACTGGGCTTCTCTCACCCCCTGCATGGGCACTCACGTAGCTCATCAAAGTGGGTCTCAATGCCATCAGGGCCAGGAACAGAGCAGATGAGTCGTGCCTTCAGGAAGGTGCTCCATTTATTTACCAGGCAGCAGTGGCCCCCATCATCATTCTGTGGGCACAAATAGCCCCCTTGCTGTGAAAATCCCCCAAACCTCACCCCTAGAGTCAGTCCTGACTTCTAAACATCCCCAAATCTGTCCTAGATCCATGCCATGGCAGTGAGCTCCCAGTCTCTAACCCTCCCAGGGTTAGCTCCCCACAAAGCCCAGAGTGAGAGATGGGGAGGGTGGTCTGGACTCCCAAAGATCCCACACACATGTAAGGAGGCTTGAAGGGCCTGGGCCCAGACTCCTCCCCACCACGCCTGTGCCAGCGCCATACCAGGCAGATGCGGCCAATTCGGGCATAGACGGCCGGGCTCTGGGGAGCCTCTGTGGATTTCTCTCGGAAGAAGAAATAGAGTTTGTCATCATTCCGTTCGGCGCTGTCCGGGATCAGCTGGGCATGCACGAACGAAGGATCTGGGACCGCGAGAGGGAGAGCTCGGTCTGAGACAACTATGCAAAATCTACCCCTTTACCCCACATGCACACGCACCCTGGCCCTCCTCCCTCTGGCAGAGAAGGGTCTTTGGGCACCTTGGCTCAAGGCAGCCCACCAGGACCATCTCACCATTGAGCCAGCGAGAGTTATACTGATCTGTCCTCATGGCCGTCTGTTTGCCCAGGGTCCGGAAGATGGCCGCGTCCGTACCCATGAAATCTATGTACACGCCAGCATATAATTCTTCATCTGCAGAGAAAGGGGGCTCTGTGGGTTACTCATGCCCCCGGCCCCTCGCAGACAGTCAGGGCAGCCCTCATGTCCGGACACATTGCGCTCAGAGCTTTACTCTCCCAGGTTTCTTCCTGCCCCTGACTCGAATGCCCAAATCACTCCAATACGTGGAACCTCCCCAGGTACTCATGGGCTGGAGCCTGCCTACGGGGATGGTACGTTTCCTAGGAGTGTGACAAGTCTCCCGGAAAAGTCACAAAATCATGGGATTCCAAGGTGAAGGAACTTTAGAAATCCTCTCTTTGAGGCCCAGGGAGGCAAGAAACGGCTCAAGGACAGGGACCCAGACCCCTCCTTCCTTGTCCTATTTATATTATCTGTGTACATGTTGTGTGCCCCTTCCCAGGAAAAGGTAAACCCCTTGAGGGCAGGGACCCCTTCATTTTGCCTTTGTATTCTGTCTGCTTAGCTTGGCTCACAGTAGACATTTAATAAATACTTGCTGAATGAACGAATCGGCCTATTAGTTCCTGGTACTGCCTGGCAGTGGACACCTCCCAGGCGGGAGGAACAGGGAGGGGGGCAGCCACCTTCACCCTGCTGGCTGTTCTCAGGCTTCTCCTATGGGCACTGGGCCTAACAGCTGTTCCCAAATGAATAAAGCCTGGAAGTACACAGCATGGGAGCTGATGCCAACCTGAGTGGGGGCGGTTATGGGCAGGCTGGTCTGGAAGGGGGCGCTCAGACAGACGGAGACTACGAGGGAGGTCACTTAGCAGTCACTCAGTGAGGCAGTGAGGATGTCCTAAGTGCCTACTATGTACCAAGCACTTTGCTAAGTGCTAGAGATTCAAATAAGGGCAAAAGACAGTCTGTTTTCTAGGAACTCACGTTCTAGTGGGAGAGAACTTGCAAACGACTGTGTACTAAGGAAATATGGATGGGATAAATTGGAGAGAATGAACAGAGGGAAGGCGCTAGCATTAAGGGAGATCAGGAAAAGCTTCCTGGGTTCTAGGTTCTAGGTTCCAGCTAGGACTTGAAGGAAGCCAAGGAAGACGTCCTTCTTCCCAGGCCCAGAGACGCCATTCCCTGCCCCAAGTGTCTCAAATCATAGGAAATTGGAGACTTTAGAGCTAAAAGGGGCCATAGAGGTCATGGAGAGGACGCCTCTCATTCTCTGATGCTGCCCACTATACCATGCTGTTCCCTGCCCCCAAATCAGAATTTTGTTCTGAGCTTCTTCCCACCCTGGAACCTTTGCATATCAGCCAGGTGCACCTTCTCTCTCCTATACTCTCAGCCTCTCCTGATTCCACTCCTCCTTTAGAACCCAGCTCAGTGGCCCTTGGAAACCCTCCCCGACCTTCTGATCCTGGGGGAAACCAACATAAGCTAGGGGAGACCAGGGAAGTCATTCCAGCCCAGACCCCTTTCTTCCGGGGAGGAGGTCACTCACTGATCAGGGCAGAGACGCTGTCCACTTTGGGATCGTAAGGACACTTGCCCTTTCCTGATTCCAGTTTCTCCGGCTCCAAGTAAAATATATAATCCTGCCAGGGAGAGATGGGGATTCAGAGAGGTCAAGGGAATGGGAGGAGACTCCACACCCACACCACACCACCCCTCCCCCAGTAGCTGCCTCAAGAGCTGGAACCATGAGTAGGAAGGATAATTCACATATTTCTAAGGATTTAAGACCAACAAAGCTTTTCTCTCACAATAATCTCGATAGGTAGATCTTGTGAGTACTGCTATCCCCGTTTTACAGATGAGAAAAACTGAGGCCCAGAGAAAAGTGCCTTGCCCAAGGTGATCAAGTATCACTGCCCAGGCTTGAACCCAGGCCTTGAGTCCACAAGCCCACGGCTCTATTCAGTGCACCATAGCTCTGGCTGGGAGTGATCCTCTGGCCAGAGTCACCAGCCAGGACTTGGTCCAGATGGATTTTATCACCCCCCACTGCCCCCACCACTGAAGGGCTAGTTGTCAAGGGAAGGTTCGTGCTAAGGATGAGTGTGACTTTGGGGAAGGAATCCCTGGGTTCCAGTCCCAGAGAGGGGGGCTAAGTGCTATCTTTGGGGGGGGGGTAATGCTAGAGTGGGGAGGTTCAGGAAAACCCCAGCAGTCCTACCCTGGGACAAAGGCAGGAGTCTGGGGGAGTGTGTGGGTGGGGAGGGGATGCAGCTATCTTCCCAATATCCATTCCCAGGCCTTTTCCTCAGCTTCCCTTTTCCACGAACCCTCAGGCACCCAGAGAAGGCATAGAATAATGTCGGTTTGGAGCCAGACACTGAGGAGGGCAGGTCTGCAACCACAAACACTCTCCCAGGAATTCCCAAGCCAGAGAGGAAACTGGCCTTTGAATTTTCCAGTTCTGGTAGGCACAATCCTTCCATCAGAGGATGGATAACTGAGAGCTGGCTAATCTGACATTTTCCCTGTGACCCCAGGTCTGAGGGCCCCCAAACAGGTAGCCTGGCCGAGCCAATGTCTTCCAGCCCCAGACACTTCTGTGTCAAGGAAGGGTAACCTACTAGTCAGTTCATGTCTGTCTCCAAGGCAAAGGGGCAGGAGGAGCTTAGCTAGGCTGTCTCTTAGAAACTGCCAGCCCAGCTGATTCCTGCCTGGTAGGAAGGATCTGGGGGGGTGGGTAGAGAGGCACCCTTATCCCTTGTCTTCCCCCAACTCCCAGAACCAAGTTCCAGCCCTTCTACAAAGATCCTGTCTGCACTGGCTTATGTTAATAACAGACCAGCTGAGTGCGGGCCCAAGGAGAAGGAACCCAAAGGTCTGGCCACGCAGGTGTGGCCCAGCCCTGGTCACTAGGGATCCCAGAACCCTGAGATTGCCCCAGGACGGGGGATTTGTGAGCAGTGCTGGGACCAGGCCCCAGTAAGACAAGGCAGATCAGGAGTGAAGGGCCGCAGATCCAGCCTGGGCCCCAGCAGAGGTGGGAGTGGGGTACACATGGCAGGGCAGGGAAGGAAGGGGAAGAAGGCTGCAGCAACAGAGGAGCGAAGGTACAGGAGCGGAGAGCAGGCGCCATGGATGGTGATGGGAAGACACACGAGTGACCCTCCCAGACACTGCACGCACACTTTCCATGCCAGGCCCCTGCCCCTCAACACACAACCTGCCACTCACCAAGCCCCCAGCACTCACATACACGTGCACACAACCAGAACCGTCTCACGGGCACGCTCCCGCACAGACCCAGCGTCTCACATCCATCTCCCAAGTGGACAGTCACGCTCTCACCTATCCACGGCATACACAGAGCTCTCACCAGGTCCAAGCCAACTCTGGTCTGGAGAGAGCCCCAGGGCAGGTATCCTGTGGACTCCCACGAGGGAGGAATATGTGCTGCATGTGTGCGGTTTATGGATGTGTGTGTATGTGTGTGTGTGTGTGTGTGTGTGTGTGTGCGCGCATGCGCGCACGTGTGTGTGTGTGCGTGTGCGTGGATGCCTGTGCGTTGCAGAGTATAAGTTCTGAGGAAGTGCGCAATGTGCACGCAGTATGTCTGAGATGGGTGCTGTGTGGGCTCCTGACTGATACGGATGTGAGCCTGTTCGTCTCTCCTCAGGACTTGGCAGAATAGGGGTGACCGGGTCCTCAAGGGCTCCGTCTCTCCCCTGGGTAGGGCCTCCACAGTGCTCACAGCTCCAGCACCTTGGTTTGGGGCTGAAGCGGGGAGTATTTGGGGGCCCTGGGGACAGATGCTGGGGCGGTTAGGAAGGCTCTGGGAACACTGTGGACACTTAGAAGGATGACAGGTGGCAGATGATACCAGAGCTCCAGGTGGGATGGCCTGGCTAAGGGGTGAGAGGGCACATTTCTGTGTTGTGGGAGGGGGAAAATGGGGAGGAAGGGAACAGGGTGGAGGGAGATGTCCAGGGTCAGCCTGAAGGTGGGTCCTGTCTGGTTCGGAGTAGCCCCAGTGGGGCTATCCACAGTTCTGGGCATATGCTGGGGCCGGGGCTTAAACTGGAGAGGGGCCGGGGAGACTGAGGCCTGGGTCCCACCTGGTGCTGGGTGGCCACAGTTGGGCTGACAGCGGCGGCATCCGTGGCTCTGCTGCCCCGGCCTCTGGCCTGAAGGGTGTGTGTCAGCTCCACCGCCTGAGAAGAAGGACAGAGTCAGGTTAGCCCTGGGGCTCAGCCACTGGGGCAGTGAGGGCCACTGTAGGTAGACCAGTCGTCCAGTTGGAGCACGGCCACGCGATCAGGCATACTCTCGCCCCTCAGCACACTCACACACATACATCCCAGTTCAGGACTCAGTCAGGGTCACACTCCACTCAGCATACGTGTACTCCACATCACATTGTGGGTGTCTCGCAAACTCCCCTCAGCCCCGGAGCCTCATCCACACTCACCGGCCCAGCGTCACTCACCCAGCATCACACAAGCCCCACTAGAAAGACGCCTGTCCACATGGGTTGCCCCTTGGAGAACACATGTGGCCCAACCAAGAACATGCCCGCTCACACATGTTCCCTGGGAGATAGCAAGTGTCCTGCTCACAGGAGTCGCCATGGAGAGCACACACATGTCCCACGACACACAGGAGCCACGGGGTCCCACCCGAGCCCAGATGGAGATGAAAGAAAGCAGAAGCAGGGGGGTGAGGAGAAACAAAAATGGCAGGTGTTGGGAGAAGGGAGAGGTGGCATCCCAGGGTTCCCTCTCCCAAAGACCCCCCTCATATACTGACATGAATATTGATGAGCTCATCTGCATCCAAAGAAAGTGGTTGTTTTAGGTAAATTTCTTCATCCACCCCACCTCACAACAGTTGGTGGGGGGGGTGAGGTAGCTCACATAGGGAAACTGAGGCACAGTAAATCCAATATCCCCTCCCTTCAGTCAGTTGGAGGTTGCGGCAAAGGAAAAAACGCAGAATTCCAGTTTCCCAACCCACCATTCCACTCCCCACATCCCCTGACATCTTTCCTACTGTTGATCTGTCTGTCTCCCGCTCCTCCAAGGTCTGAGGCGGGGCCACCTGGCCCTGGGGTGGCACAGTCCCTAGAATCTGGAGCCCCAAAGACTTCCCTGGCAGCCACAGAGAAGGAGATGCTAGGGGCATGGGAATGCTACCCACCCCTCCTCCAGCCCAGGAGCACCCTAATGTGGATCAGAAGGGACAGAGTTAGGCTAGGATTCAAGGGATCCAGGGAATTCTGGGCAGGCCCAGGGCCACACTTGGGGGATGGGGAGGGGGGAAAGGAGGGGTCAAGAAAAAGGTGTTCAGGGGGGTCTAGGCTTTTTGGGTTAGGACTCAAAGGGTCAAGTGCCAAGAGTCAGGGGACAGAGGCTGGGGGTTCAGACCCTGGGCTATACCTGTGCCTTGCGCCCTCGATTGACATAGGTACACACGGGATTGTAGGCACCTGTCCCACACACATACAGATGTGTCCGATTCCAGGGCTGGATGAGGCGAATGAAGTTCCCACATTCCCCCTGTTCGAGGAAAGAAGAGCAAGAAGATCCTGTGAAGCCCCCTCCCCGCCCTCCTCCCCAGCTCCTCCCTGCTTTCCTCCCACAACACCCTCAGTGCCTACAGACTCCTGGAATGTTAGGGCTGGAAGAGATCTCAGAGATCTAGTCCAATGTTGTCATTTTACAGAAGGGGAAATTGAGTCCCAGAGAAGTAAAGGGGATTGCCCAAGGGAGCAGAGTAGTGAAGCCAGGGCTTACAGCCAGATGTACTGACTCTGGAGCTGTTGAATAAACTGGGGCCATGAAGGGGTAGAGAAGTGACTCCTTGGGAGGGGGAGGGAGGAAGGGAGCCTGGGGGAGTCACAGCAGCCTCCTGCCCCTTGATCTGAGGGGGATTTCCAAGGGCAAGTGTC